CATAACTGATGTCCAGATCAATTTGGTGGTTGTTTTTAGTTGTGAATGATATGTAATGGGTTTTATCAAAATTTAATGAGAGTAAATTGGCTTCGAACCATCTGTTTAAGGCTTCAAATACAATATTTATGTCATTTTTAAAGTTGTCAAATTTAGAGTTCTTAAATATTATACTAGTGTCATCTGCATATAGAATTGGTTTAGATTTATTGTTGATGGTTTTAGATAGATCATTTATGTAGAGAAGAAAAAGTAAGGGACCTAAAATTGATCCTTGTGGAACACCGTGCTTTATAATTCCCCAGTTTGAAAATGCATTATGACTGGAGTTTTTATTATTTATTTCAACTCTTTGATACCTGTTCTTCACTTCTTCTGCATGGTGTCTTTCTTAACCTCTATTGTTGTGTTTGAAACCTTCCTCAGGATTCTCATTATTTGCTGACTGAGCTAAAAATAGGCATCTAAAGGTAAAGCTATCCCTGTAACAGGTCGTGGGGGTCCATAGGGTTGTAAGACATCAAACCTCCTGCATTTTCTAGACAGTCAGCTTACAGATGGTTGTGAGGTTGTCAGCCTTACATGCAGGCAGCTGCCTGTGCCCCAGGAAGATTCCTGGTACTCATTTCTGTTAGAGGTTCAGTAGACCCCAGGGCCATAGTGCAGCTGGAAGGATTAGGTCAATTGAAAAATCCAGTCACCTCACTGGGAACTGAACCACCACCACTGTGTAAGGGCAGTGGAAACGTCTGCAGGTATAGAAAGTGTCACTCTGGGCCGCACCATAGCTCAAGCAGTTGGTCGCTAGCTTCCCACTGCGGCAGCCTGGGTTCGATCCCGGGTCTGGTCAAGTGGGATTTGTGGTGGACAAAGTGGTGCTGGGGCAGGTTTTCTCCGAGTACTTCGGTTTCCCCTGCCAATCTTCATTCCACCAATTGCTCCACAGTCACCCTCACTTATCATCTGGGGCTGGTACAATAGGCCAGACGTGGCCGGAGCACAAGGGACTTAGTCCCATCCCACTAGCAATAAAGAAAAAGTGTGACTTTGTATTTCCATATGCAACAGTAGGATAAGATTCTACGTTTGTTTCATGTGGTGATGGGGCAGAAGATAATTCTAAATCTTCAAATAATAGCATGGAGGGGGAAAAGGAAGAACAAAGGAGAGATGAAGACCAGAGTAGCAACAGCAGTGAAAGCCTGGAGAATGAGGAGCAGGTTGAGCAGGGAAGCCTGGAATTTCCTGATACAGAAATCAAGATTGAACACGTCGGAGGCAATCAGTGAGTGTGATGTAAGATTTGAGGTTATCATGCCAGTGACTATGAAGAATGCCATCATCTGGGAAGTGGTGCCTTGTAGATATGTGTTAACTGACGTTTCGGAGGAACGTATCGCTTCCATGTGCAGGGTAGAAAAATCCGTAAGCTAGGAACTAGCGTGAGCAGGTGGCTGCAGACTGAGTCACCAGTCAAAAACACCCAGCTATGTAAGAACAGGAAGGGAGGGAGAGTGGACCACATGCAAAATCAGAGAGGAGAGGGGAAGGGTCTATGAAGATGGGCCAGTAGGCAGTAGGTAAGGGGGGAAAAGAGGCAGGGCTGCTAGGAGAGCACTGACCCAGTAGCCTTGGGGCTAAGCTGCCAAGCATGCATCAACCTGCATAGCCTAGTAGATCTGGTGTCATGTTCAGGAGGTTTTTTGAGGGAGCATATGAGAGGCTTCCAAGACTTTACACAGTGCCACATTCCAGAAGATGACATTCTTCGGTAAGTATGATGTTCTGAAGTAAACCATGCATGGGAAGGGGCTGATGTACGAGTAAGATAACTGGGACCAGGGCTCTGGGTGAATCTATAGGAGTGTAAAGCGTGTTCGCCTTATACGTGTCCCAGCATCAGCACAGAGAAACTTGAGCCCTGTGTTTAACTTGTTCATTGAGGTTATGTTATCTGCAGACACAGATCTGCCACTCAAACTGAAACCAGATAGCCCCATTGGTTGGTCTGTTAGTACAGTGCTTTATGTGGATGCACAAATACTGTATCTGTTCAGGATCACACTACATACAACATCCACAATGATTCTGCCTTTGGAGCAATCATCAGAACAGGAAGTGGTCTTTCTTGGAGATGATAAACCTGTCAGTCTAAAACCTTTGTTGTCTACAAATCATCAGAAGAGAACAAGCATCTGCAAATCACGCAGCAACAGTGTTCAGGAAGGTGATGACAGGGGATGGATGGAACAGACAGGAAAGCAGCAACAGCAGCAGCAACACTTGAAACGTGGTCAGAGAGGGAAACTGAAGAAGATTAAAGAAAAGTACAAATATCAAGATGAGGAAGAAAGGAAATTGAGGATGGAAATCTTACAGGTAGGCCCACTGTCTGTTTCTGTACAATATACAGTGTAATTCTTTGAGAGTAGGCCCCTAATTATGAATCATGCAATAATATACCAACTTTTGTGGATAAGGGGTGTCGCGTGGTCAGTGCAACGAATACCCACGGCCGTTAATTTCGGTTTTCTAGACTGGAGACACTATTTGCTTGAAATAGTTCCTCAGTTATCCTCACAAGGCTGAGTGGACCCTGTTCCAGACCCACTACCTTTCAGAAAATCTGGTAGCGCCGGGAATCGAACCTGGACCTCTCGACAAGCGGCAGTCACTCAGCTGGTATATTTTGCTTGTGGACTAAAACCATGGAGTTTTTTTTATTTGTTTGCAATAATTTACCAATGAGACTAAAATTTGACAGGTACATACTTTGTTAGGTGTGGAGATAATGAGGTTACAGAAGGCGGTGGAATTAGTTTCTGTCTGTCAGGAGAGAGGCTGACCGAGTACTCTGTGTATGCAAATGTTGCAGCCAGCATGCCAGGAGGCATCTCGTACAGTTGTAGACTGAAAGAAATGGCATGAACCAGACAGGCACTGGGTCATTACTGCAAAGTACACAAGGATGATAAAGTTTCATTTTTCATTGGTAAGATGTCATGTGATCTATAATTATCAATTCAGGTTCTCATTTTAGTCACTCATGCTGTAAAGTAACTCTGGTTGCCTATCTTGTTGACATGAACATTAAAGTTTTTAGGTTTTCATGGTGGAGATTGTGGTTTACTGGGTTGTAGCACCTTACAGTCTTATGGTGGATACCAGCATTCTAGAGGACAGTGCTGACTCTGTCTTCAGGGTCAGACTGAGTAGGGTGAAGGTCAGGTTGGACAGGTTACAAGGAAGGTGGCGGCCATCTGAAAGCAGTGTAAGGAGGGACCAGCTGGGAATAACATGGACTTTGATGACGGCCTGCTTCTACCTACTGTACCCCCAACAGTGAGTGCTGGGACAGCTGAGAGCATTCTGCCACTGCTACTGCCACTGCCAGGACCACCACCACTTGCACTTCTTCCACCACCCTCCATTTCCTCCCCCTTCACCCATCCCACCCCTCCTCCACCTCATCATCATCTCACCATCATCAATAACAACAACAACAACAACAAGGTTACAAGTCGATGAGCCTGTTCCTGTTTCAAGAGATTGCAACCTCCCATCTAGCTACAGGTCATCTGACGGCATACTCTGCAGTATAAACATGTGGATGCCACACTGTCGCACAGGCCCCACCAACGGAGATGACAGCAGTCTCTGAAATGCCGAATCCCGTACCTCATACTGGCATGGGCAATTGTCCATGAATACTTCGCTGTACACAGTCACCATGACTGCTTAAAATCATCCTAATCATTACAGTTTTGTTGCACTTGGTAAATCATGGGTGATCATTCACTCAGCTTTACATTTAAAAGGGGGGAAAAAGGAGTTTTATTTCCATGAATTTAGGTTTTGAGAAGAGGGATTGCTCTATGTTCAGATTGTCTTATGTTGATCTATGGAATTGCTGTGTGTTCTTAGTCTGCAGGTACTGGAAAGGACAATAAAAAGGGGAAGAAATCTAAGACGTCAAGTAGCAAAGATTCAACTAAAGTGGAGAAGAAGATTAACCCTCCACGAGCGTCAAGGTTAGCTGCTCCCCCAAAAACAGCGGAGGACGGAGAAGATTCAGATGGAGGGGAAGCGGTTGAGGAAGTTACAGTTGCAGCAGATGTCGACATGCTGGACTCACTGACAGGAATGCCGGTACCTGAAGACGAGCTGCTGTTTGCGGTGCCTGTGGTTGCACCTTACAGTACTCTCCTCAGCTACAAGTAAGTTTTGAAAGACACGAGATTTGAGGTTCTCGTGGCAGTGATTATGGAGAGTACTGTCTCCTGGGATGTGACACAGTATAGTCTGATAGATGCTTACCTGTGTGGCTTACTTTTCTACCCTGCAGGATAAGACAGTACGTTTCTCTGAAATGTCGGTAAAGTTGCATCAGACTGCATGGCATCACATCCCCAGAAGGTAGCAAAAAAATAACAAACTCTGTGGTTTCAGTCCGCAATCGAACTATACTGACTGAGCGACTGCCGCTTGTCAGCGAAGTTAGTGCCAACTTTAGAAGATAGAGGTTGTCGTGTGGTCAGCACAGAGGAATCCCCATAGCCATTATTCTCGGTTTTCTAGACTGGAACTGCTACTTTTCCATTCAAGTAGCTGCACAGTAATCCTCACGAGGCTGAGTGGACCCCGTTCCAGACCCACTACTTCTCAGAAAATCTGGTAGCGCTGGGAATCGAACCCAGACCTCTGGATCTGTAGCCAGGAACTCTGATCACTAGACCACAGAGGCAGTCCCAGAAGGTAGCACTGTTTGAAATATATCTGGTTTATAAACTTCAATGCAGACTTTGCAGCCATGGACACACATACTTCCTGAGCCTTGCTCCGAAGCATTGGTATTTGTAATGTAGTGTGGTTGATACTTTGATTAAGTACAAATGCTGAAAAAGTGGTCCGTGTTTCACAACTGAAAATGTGTTCCATCAGATGATGTCATTTTGGAGGAGGGAGTGCAGGAGTACAGATATTATAAGTGAGTTATGCTATCAGGAAACACACAATATATCATCATCATCATCATCATCATCATCATCATCATCATGTCATTGTCATTGTTTTCTTCGCTAGAATAGCCAGTCTCTGGGCTGAGATTTGAACCTGGGATCTTCTGAAAACAAAGCAGGAGAGCTGTTTATCAGTGACAAAGTTCGATTGTTCTATGTGCATTGCTTCAAATAATGTTAAATAGGTGTCAGTTGGAAATGTACTTGTTGTATTGTGTTACAGGTTTAAAGTGAAGTTGACGCCAGGCACAGGTAAGAGGGGAAAAGCTGCAAAGACAGCAATAAACATGTTTCTGAGGGAACGCACCACCACAGCAAGAGAAAAGGATCTCATACGTAGTGTGAAGGATGAAAACTTAGCTAGAAACCTGCCTGGGAAGGTGAAGTTGTCTGCTCCGCAACTGCAGAAGTTACGCAAATAAAAGTCTGTGAGTATGTAAGTAAAGAACATGTACTGACGCTGTTTGCAAATCATATTGCTATTGTATTGCATAATGAGGGGCTTCATAATTTGTACTCCTTGCCAAATATTATGAAAGTCATCAAATTGAAGAGTATGAGATGGCTGAGACATGAAATGAGCACAAAGTTTTAGTATGAAAACCTGAAGTAAAGAAAACATTTGGAAGACCTGGATTTAGCTGATAGGATTCTTACAAATATAAGATGAGAGGTAGTGTACTGTATTTATCTGGCTCAGGGCAGGACCAGTAGTTGGCTTTTGTGAACACAGTGATGAACCTTTGGGTCCTGTAAAATGCTGGGAAATTTTTTGACCAGCAGAGCAACTCTTAGGTTTTGAGAAAGAACTACTCCATAGAGGTATGGTAAAACCCCAGGTAATGTTTTTGGGTTTAATGTTTTGTGTCATGCGTTGTTGATTGTCAGTGATTCCAAGCCGGTAATATCATGTCACATAACGTCCAGTTTAAGAGTTCCATCAATTTAATGCCTAAATCCGCTGTTCTCCAAGGACTTCTTAAGTGGTAGTTTCACTTTACTTAGCTAATTACTCACTAAACACTTTTGGACTATACACATGATATTCTGTCTTATGTGACTATAAGACATTTCTGGACATTTCATTGAACAATTTTTAAAGCAAAATATTTCTTTTAGTGCCACTTAATTATTGTCTGATAAACATTAATGGTTGACATCATAATATCATAATTTCTTGCTTCCATATAATCACATGATGTTTTATGAGATTTGAGTTTCTCATGGTGGCGAGTATCAAGATTGCTGTCATCTGGTTTATGATACTGTGTAGTTCCATTTGCTGCCTCCACTCTCAGGATACTCTGATGATGATGATGATGATGATGATGATGATGATGATGATGATGATGATGATGATGATGATAATAATAATAATAATAATAATAATAAAAAGAGAGAAGGGTAAAGCTATCCCTGTAACAAGCTGTGGAGGCCCATAGGGTTCTGAGACATCAAGGCTCCAACATTTTCAAGACAGCCTTTTCACAGATGGTGGTAAGGTAGTCAGCCTTTTGCACCGGCTACCCTTTACCCCACAGGAATATACCTGGTATTTATTTCTGTTAGAGGCTGAGTCGACCCCAGGGCCATAGTGCGGCTGGAAGGATTAGGTCAATTGAAAAAATTTGATGACCTCATCGGGAATCAAAACCCATGACCTTCCAGCTTGTAGCATACTGCCCCAACCAACTATGCTACTGTGTACTCCCAAATATACTCTGATTATCATTCTTAATTTTTTAATAGGGACAAAATTAGATAAATCATCTCGTATAGATGGCTAGGTAAAGGTAAAATTATCCCTGTGCTTAACTAATTAAGCACTATGTGATGAAGGCGTATGGGGGGGTGGATGTACAGATCCACATTTTCTTGATCTCAGCACTAGTTGGAGGTATTATTTCTTTATTGCTAGTGGGGTGGGACTAAGTCCCTTGTACTGCGGCCACTTCTGGCCTATTGTACCAGCCCCAGATGATATGTGAGGGTGATTGTGGAGCAATTGGTGGAATGAAGATTGGCAGGGGAACCGAAGTACTCGGAGGAAACCAGCCCCAATGCCACTTTGTCCACCACAAATCCCACTTGACCAGACCCGCAATCGAACCTGGGCCACCGCGATGGGAAGTCAGTGACTAACCGCTTGAGCTATGGCGTGGCCCTGGTTGGAGGTAAGTGGTCAGCTTCATGCCTCAGCAGCTTTTAGCCCCAGGAAAAGAGCCCCTGTTACCCATTGGATATGAGGTTGGGTGGACCCTGGAGCCGGTCTGGATGATGTGGAGAAGAGAAAATTCTTGACCCTACCAGGACTCGAACTCCACGGCCTGTTACAGGGACACCTTTACTTACTTTTATGTATGTATGGTGAGGAATTGGATTATGTGCGCACATTGTGAGGAAAGTCGTTACTCAGACACATTGGAGATAGAAAGGAAATGGAACCTGTTCTGGGCTAATAGAATTATTTGTGTGCAATTGTTTTAATGGAAGTTGATCTCATTTTTATGCTCATTCATGTTTTAAAAATGAGGATGTGCTTGTGGGACTTTTACAGGTGAGGTGGATGTGAAGTCATGGCTCGTTCATCACCTTGTAATCACAGAACTGCTGTTGCTGCTGGAAGCTTGCCCTTGTTGATATTATCTATACTCTGTAGTTAGAAGTACAGAATGTAGAATACTTTAAAATATAAAACAAATGTAAGATAGCAGATTTAATTGTTCACGCTCTTTCCACGAGGGTCAAGATGTAGCAGTGATGCTTTGTTTTCTCTCCACTGAATGTCAGCTCATGTGAATGACAGTTGATCCTGAATATTTCAAGTGCTACATCCTGTTGTTTTCCCTTACATAACCTTTATTAGCTAAAAGAGTAAATATGTTGACACCATACATATTTTTAAAGGTATAGCAACTGGCTATGGGCTGGACTACTAGCCCTGGTAGGGTCAAGAATTTTCTCTTCTCCACGTTGTCCAGACCAGCTCCGGGGTCCACCAAACCTTCTGTCCTATGGGTATTGGTTTCTCTTTCCCTGGTGGTAAAGCGGCTGGGACCTGAAGCTGACCACTCACTTTCAGCTAGTGCCAAGGTCAAGAAAGTGTGCATCTATACATCCACTCCCCCATACATCTCCTTGATGTAGTGCTTAATTGGTTAAGCACAGGGACAACTTTTTTTTTACTTCATGTATCTTTAAATTAAGAAGAAGAAGAAATATGAAAAGATTGTAGTCATGATATTTGCTGACATTGCAGAAGAATATCTTGCTTTCATTTTCAAGGTAGGAGAGTAACCTGGTCATCGAAGTCCCTGGACTTGCTTTGTTTACTGTTCTATATTCAAGATGGAGGCTGCGCGTTCTCCCTAAATGCAGCCATTAGCCACCACAGTACCCAATGTCATGTCCTAGAAGACAGTACACTTCATAGTGATGCCTGTGAGAAACTCAAGTCTCACAGGGAAAATCCTGTTAATGTCTTAGTGCTTTGACACTAAGACAGTAAGTAAACTCCTGGTTCTCTGGTAGTTAGGTATGCAGAATTCTCATTCAACCAGCAGAAATTTCAAACAATTCAGCCTTTTTTTAAAATTATACAAAAGCAAGTTTGGGTTACACATATATTCACCCATCAGGCTGTAATTCTCCTAACCAACACTGGCAGTGCTATGTGTTGTATTGCTTCATGCAGGTGCCATCGTAACAATGCACACTAATAAAATTTATGATTGCACTGCAGTATGTAAATATATATATGAAATCTCTCACTCGTCAGCTCACTGTGTCGCCTAGGAAGACTCCCGTGCAAGAAGTAAAGCAAAAACATGTTGTTTTGACTTCATTTTGGATTTATGTGTAAGAGTTTTATGGTACAAGTGGCGGACACCATTCCCAATGCATGCCAGATAATGGGGTTTCGCTGTATATAAAGATGAACACACTTTCTGTGCTCAGATGTCATGTAAGAGCATCTAAAACTATAATGTAATTAATTGAAAAAAATGCAAAGTGACTCTTTTGACAAGTATCCAGTGATCTGTTTGTGGAATGTGGTATTAACTTGAAGCGAGGCTTGGAGGACTTTACGCTGCCCTGCAAAGAGGCTGAGAGTGGTGTAATAAATAACCAACTTCCCAAGCTTTTTCATGAAGAGATTCCTGCAGCAAAGCTCTAGCCACCTGTATCAGTGACCTTTAGCCCTCCACCATTAAGATGCTGTTCTGCAGCTCGTTTGCTTACCCTGGATAGAGAGGGATGAGCCGTAGGAAGATAAGGTACAGGAAGAGGGCAAGCACAATCAGTGTCCATGTTGACTTCAACTGTCAGTAATCTGATGTCTTGCAGATAAATAATGGAACTGATTTCCTTGTTGTTTTAGTTAGTACCATCTGTTAAGGGCTGCGCCATAGCTCAAGCGGTTAGTCACTGGCTTTCCACCGTGGCGGCCTGGGTTCGATCCCGGGTCTGGTCAAGTGGGATTTGAGGTGGGCAAAGTGGCGCTGGGGCAGGTTTCCTCCGAGTACTTCGGTTTCCCCTGCCAATCTTCATTCCACCAATTGCTCCACAATCACCTTCACCTATCATCTGGGGCTGGTACAATAGGCCAGAGGTGGCCGCAGTACAAGGGACTTAGTCCCACCCCACTAGCAATAAAAAAAATAGTACCATATGTTACTTAAGGTAGAAAAAGAAAGATAAAGCTATCCCTCTAACAGGCAATGGAGGCCCATAGGGTTGTGAGATGTTAAGGTTCCCACATTTTCTAGACATTTGGCTCACAGATGGTGGTGAAGTTGTCAGCCTTGTGCGCCAGCTGTCCTATACCCCCTGCAGGAAGATTCCTGGTACTCATTTCTGTGAGGCTGATTCGACCCCAGGGTTATATAGTGCTGCTGGAAGGATTAGGTCAATTGAAAAACCCAGTGACCTCATCTGGAATTGAACCCGCGATCATCTGGCTTGTAGCATAGTGCCTCAACCAATTACGCTACTTTGTGCTCCTACCGTATGTTACTTAAACATATTATTTTTAAATTTGTGTGTAAATATTTGTACATAGCTGAAATTTCAGTGGGAAACAATTACAAACAAACATCGAAAGTACCTAACCTCAGTAACCTAATATTTTGGAAAGACAGTTACATGTGTACCAGGATGGTAGACTTGACAAAATGAAAGTGTACTGCTGCTGTCTGCAGTTCCAGTATCTAGTTACAGCTTCTGCAGAAAACACCGCTGTTGTATAATGGTCAGAGTTCCTACCTACAGATCAAGGGGTCCTGGGTTCGATTCCTGGTGCTACCAGATTTTCTAAGAAATATTGGGTCTGGAATGGGGTCCACTCAGCCTTATGAGGTCAATTAGGTTGATATTTCAAGGAAATAATGGTGCCAGTCTAGAAAACCGAGATCAACGGCCACAAGGATTGTTATGCTGACCACGCGACACCTCTATCCGCTAAAGTTGGCCTTAACTTTGCTGACAAGCGGCGGTCGCTCAGTTGGTATAGTTCGCTTGCGGACTACAGGCCACGGATTTTTTTTGTTCATTATGGAAATTCTTTTTGGCAAAGGTCAGAGTGGCAGTGCCAGTTGAAGGATGGGTTCCTCTCGTCGTTGCCTGTCTTTGGCAATGAAGGAGGCTGCCATGCCAGCTGAAGCATAGGAACCTTTCTCATTGCCATCTGCAGCAAAGTCTGAACTATTGCCACAGTTTTCTGTTGGAGACAGGCAGGATGCCCAGGGAAGCCTTAGGCTTTTAGTATAAAATTATATGTGTTTGCTGAAAGAGCTAGCAGCTTATTTGGCCTTGATTAATGGTAAGTGGCCATTGTTCCCCTAACCACAAATTTTCCATAAGGTCTTAGTCTCTACAGCCAGATTGTTGTTTTATGGGAAAATGACCCCCAAAATTGTTGAGTTACTGATAAATTATAATATTCAGTTTATAAAGTGGAGATAGCATAGACGGTATAGCAACAGGCTACAGGCTGGACTACTGAAGGGTTGGAGTTCGAGTCCCGGTATGGTCAAGAATTTTCCCTTCTCCATGTCATGCAGACCGGCTCTGGGGTCTACCCAGTGGACACTTGGGACTCCTCCCCTGGGGTTGAAGTGGCCGGTGCATGAAGCTGATTACTTACCTCCAGCTAGTACCAAGGTCAAGAAAATGTGGATTTGTACATCTGCTCCCCTATATGCCTTCATGGCTTAGTGCTTACTTAGTTAAGCACAGGGACATCTTTTCCTTTTTTTACATTTAGTTATGGAGGGGAGACAGGAAAATAAATTAGCCTGAACTCAGCTTGCATTTATCAGCTTTGTTATCCTACTCTTAATCTGATCATGAATATAATGCTTATCAGTTACTCTTGTTTGCTAATACTTGAATTTATAGTCCCTAGGTCCAGAGGCAGGGACTGTTTCCATTGATTGGGACCAACTGAGTAGGTTCCTCCCGAAGCTGGAGACATGATGCAGTCTCCAAAATGTTGTGTTATTTTGAATAAAAACAGTAAGATGGATAATGTCCAGAAACGCAATAATTGTAAAAAAATATTGTATGCATTTCTTATATCTCCCTTGTGTGTAATCACTCACTCATGGAGCTGAGCCCTTCTTGAGAAGCTGCCAGTTGTGCAGCTACTCAAGAATTTCCCAGCATTTTATGGAACATGGAGGTTCATTGCCATGTTCACAAGAGCCCTCCACTGGTCCCTATCCTGAACCAGATCAATCCAATCCATACCATCCCATCCTATCTCTCTTAAGATCCATTTTAATATTGTCCACCCACATATGCCTTGGTCTACCCAGTGGTCTCTTTCCTTCTGGCTTTCCCATCACTAAGGTTGGAAAGTTAAGATTCATATCAGATGCACACAGTTTTCAGATGTTATTAATATGTATTTAAAAGTGTCTAAAAATCTTTGTCATTCTACTGTAGAATATGTAAATCGTACATAGTCCATGCTAAATTTAATCATATTTAGTTTGTATGACATAATATGTGTGTTTACCTTCAAAAAGGCTCACTTTGAGTATAATTTTGTAAAGCATAAAAGCTCAATACTACTTTCTCATTTTCATTTCATTGATGTATGTGAAACATAAGATCATTTTAAATATTACAGAGATAAAGTTAGCACTCCACAACATCTTGATTCTAGATAATGGTTTCACATTATTTTCAGATAGACGTGTTGAGGTCCTTGTAATACGTAACATAAAAAATAGTGCGTTCGTGTGAAGGATTCACTTCCGTGAGTAGAGATGTATTGGTAAATTGTCATAATTGAGGGTCTCCATCAAATATGTATGAACTTTGCGCAGTAAGAAGGAAGAATACTTAAAATCAATAAATAAGGAATGAAGTTTGAATTAATAACTGTGTTATTGGAGGGAACTACTTGTTCTTAAGAAGTTTTTGTGGTATTATGACAGTAATTACTTTCCAAAGTTGTTTGAAGTTCTGAAAGTTTTAAATATTTGAATAGCAAGGTGACTTTCTCTGAACTTGTTAGAAACTCGAAATTTTTGGAGAAGTAAACTCTGTTTTTCATACAAAGTGGCACATTGCATAAGGAGGTTTCTTATATGTTAGTTATATTTAGTATCTTGAACTTACTTACTTACTTACATACTTACTTATGGAGCTGAGCCCTTCTGGAGGAGCTGCCAATTCAGCAGCTACTCAAGAATTTCCCAGCAT